TTGGTTGTGCTGTTTCATGACCCAATCATCTGAATGACCATTTCTCTCTGCCATAATGATAGCCAAGTGTTCATCAATGTATAGTTGCATTAGTTGTGTACTCTACAAGACACTATAATGCGTCCGACTCCTTTGTAATCATGGTCGATGAACACTTTTCTACCACTGGTGCCCTTCCTAGCCAGCTTACCCTTGTGATGAGAATCGGGTTTACCAATCCATTTCTATACTTTTAGTTACTCTTGACAGCATTCGATGACTTCTTTAATACTATAACCCTCTATCATGGAGCCCTTTGGGTATGCTCAATTATGCACGTATCGGCTTAGAACCGACATGAACCGCTCGTAGGACCACATTTCATGCAAGTAGCAAGGGCCCAACGCCTATATCTGATGAACATGTGAATCATGAGATGTGGCATTATATCAACAAAAGTAGGAGGTAAACACATCTCTAGTTGGTTTTGTGTCTCCACCACAAATTCATGTAGGTCACTCAACTCTTTCTTGCCAATCATCTTATGTGAGATCTTCGAAAAGAAGTAGCACATGCGGGTGATGGCCATTTTCAAGAACTCTGGCTTTATAACCCTGATTGCAATAGGTAGAAACATTGTCAGCATCACATGACAATCGTGAGCCTTGTAGTGTGTTATTAACAAGTCCTTCATCGACACTAGCTTCTTCACATTCGCTGAAAACCCAGTCAGGACTTTGACCCCCCTTAGGAAAGTGCATATAGCTCTCTTCTCATCTGGTGTTAGGTTGAAGCATGCCACGGGCAGAGTGCATTTTCCATTAGCCTCAGGTACCGGGTGAAGCTGTGGCATCACGTTTAGCTGCACCATGTCTTTTTGTGATTTTAGACCATCATTTGACTTTCCTGTGTCCATCAAGGTAGCAATGAGACTCTCAAAGACATTCTACTGCACGTGCATAGCATCAATGCCATGGGGGACCTTCAAGTCTGGCCAATAAGGCAGATATTAAAAAAAGATCGATTGTTTCTTGAAAGGTACGCCTTTGACAGGAGGTATTCTTCTATCTCTGTTCGTCCCATCCATATTCTTCTTTCCATAGACGACGCATATGTTTTTCATCATTCTATACACGTGTTCTCCGTTATGACGTCTCTCAGGAGGAGGTTCAATCTCTGGGGTGTTGTCATAAAATCTAAAGAATAATTTGTTGTGGTACTTGTGACTTGTGTTTAAGAAGCGCCGGTTCCTTAGGTAAACTATCTTCTTGGATGCATCCAAGAATACCCATGTAGTACCATCCAAACTAAGCATCATGTCCTCCCTTTGATCTGTCTAGACAAAGCAAACAACGCGGGGTAACCATTGGAAGCAACAAATATTATTGCTCTACATATAAAGTCCTCCTTTCGGAATGCATCGTACATCGGCTCCCCATGCCTCCATAGCCTCTCCATTTCTTGCATCAAAGGCTTGAGGAACACGTCTATATCAATATCTGGTTGTTTAGGGCCAGAAATAAGAATAGTAAGGAGAATGTACTTTCTCTTCTAACACAACCATGTTGGGATGTTGTACATGGTCAAGATCACTAGCCAAGTGTTGTGATTGCTCATCCTCTCATTGAAGGGATTCATTCCATCGGTGCTCAAGCCAAACCATACATTCCTTGGGTCATCGCTGAATTCTTTGTGCTTCTCATCGATCCTTTACCACTGACTACAATCAGCCGGGTATGCAATCTTATCATCATCCACCTTGAGCTCATCATTCCACCATATCATGAGTGCAGCTTCTTTAGGGTTTAGAAAGATACGTCTCAAGCGGTCGGTCGCTGGCAGGTACCACACTACTAAGGTAGGAATTCTTCTCTGCTTTGCATCGTTGCCTAATGGAGTGTCCTCTGGGGCTAAGATTCTTGTACCACCTTTTTTGTACCCTTCTTATTTCTCTTTTTCCCCGTGGAGGCTTCATCCTCACCGTAAAGGTCATTGTTCTTGTACTGGTTGGCCCCACATCGGGGACATTTATTCAGTGACTTGAACGTTTCGCCACAAAAAAGGATACAGTGGTTGGGGCATGCATGGATTTTTTCAACCCCCATTATCAATGGACTTATGACCTTCTTCGCTTGGTATGTGTTTGCGGGAACTGAGTTTGGTTGTGGTAGCACCCATGACAGGAGACACAATAGATCATTGAAACTACAGTCTGACCAGCCGTACTTAGCCTTCCGAATGAGTAGCTCAAGCACAAAATATAGCAATGTCCAGTGTGTCGGACAACCCTTTTCAACACCATATACAACCTCATTCGATGTTTTTTAACCCTTTCAAAATTTTCTAGACCTTTTGGGCTCTTTAGTAAAATCTCTGGTCTAAGGGCTCGAATCATGTCATCCAAATCATCTTTATCCCCGACACGTGCTCCGCCATTATTATTGGCATCACCTTCGTCGTTACCATCCCAACCACCAGCATCACCATCTTGTTCATTGCCAAACTCGGGATCCATTCGTGCATCAAGCTCTGCTGAATATTGGGACAGGGACTCTAGGGTTTTGTCGTCGTATTCCTCCTCATCCTCGTCGTTAACAATAATCGTTTCACCATGATGAATACACATTGTGTAGTCCTCAACAAATCCTCGCATAATTAAATGTGATCTGATGATAATCATATCTATCCATGCCATACGGTTCTTGAAATCTTTATAGGGACAAATAATTGTATCCTTATTCTCTATCAACGTTGTTGCATGCTTCTCTACGGCTTCAATAAATTTATCCACCTCTTCATGGAAACCTTCCTTGAACCTTAACGAACCATATATCCAAGAGTTCCTGTACTCCATCTTTTACAACAACAACAAAATAAACATTAAAGGACTACTTATTTAGATATATATAAAAATGAATCAAATTAATAATTACTTGAGAAATAATTGTATATACTTCAGATATATATGAATATAAATCAAATATAATTACATGAAGCATACAAACACACCATGGTAGAGGAAAATTAATTAATGGTCTATTTATCCATAAATAATTAAAATACATATTTGTTGATTATAATAAACAATTTCAAAGACAACAATTAGCAACAATTATATTTTACCCAATATCTTTCATACAAACCCTAGTCCAATTTCATCAAACATAAATTTACAAAAATGAAATTAATAAAAAAACCAAACCCTAGATCTAGATCTAGATCTACATGCATATGAAACATCCATAAAACTAACTAATTGTTCACTAAAATCAAGAAACATAGACCAAATAAGGGTATGATCTTGTTCCCCTACCTAATTTACCCTAGTACATTTAAAACTTAGGTCTAATTTGCTTCATAAGTAGCTCAAGCACCATAGAAGAGAGAGAAAAGCAAAACTCTAATTACTCACTAACCAAGCATTAAAACTTAAAAAGTGTGGAATAACATTTTCTTACCTTCTACAACCTCTCTACCAAAGGATTTGAGACCAAAACCTTTTCCCCTTAGTAGAATAATTTTTGAGAGGTACCCAAGGCCTCCCAAGCCTTTTTTCTTGAGTAAGAGTGAGTGACCCAAGGAGGAAGAAGGGGGCTGCAGCCTTTTGTACGTGCATTTGTAGGAGCGGCTGGTGATTGTGCCGGCCCTACAAATCGTAATACCGGGGGCGGCTGGTGAGTGAGCCGCCCCTACAAATCGACCTATTTGTAGGGGCGGCTCGTATCACCAGCCGCCCCTACTGTGCCATTTGTAGGGGCGGCTAGTCTCGTGGGTCCCGAGCACGCCCACTGTAGGGGCGCCTTCTTCCCCAGCCGCCCCTACAAAAATATTGAGCCATTGCTATAAACCTTTTCTGTAGTAGTGGCAGTTATTTTAGATAAAGAGAGTAAGAGAAGATTTATCGAGTCGAATAAGGTTTCTGAAATGATGGAGCCACCATCCATTGAGAGCCAAGCTTCCGCAGAGACTAAGTTAATTCGTGCATGCACACACGACATGGTTCGTGCACATTTCCTATACTTTGAGCCTAAAATTAATGCTCTTCTTAGATGATGGCTTCGGGTTCGGGATGATGGTTGTTGGAGGGAAGATATGTTCTTTGGCCATTGAAAAAAATATTAGGGGAGACATACTGGATAGACGAAGGAGATGGGTAGAGTTTGGGTCAGGGAGAGGCACAAGAGTAACGTGACGACACCAGGTTCGCAGGGATAGGGTAGGGTGAGGGGGACGCTGTGCCCAGGGGTCGTTAAGGATGAGGCGTGGTTAAAGATGATTCAATAGCCGCACGATAAAAATGGACGCTGTAACGCATGGCCATGCGTGCGTTAGGCCAGCCGCATGGTCGCCTTCCTCCTCGCACCCCACCCCCGCCTTCATCTGCCTCGCCGTTGATGCCGAATTCGTCCGAAGTAGTGTCGTCTAGGGCTGCCGATGTTGGATCCGCCCGAAGCACTACTGAAGCTCCACTGATCTGCCCACTGCCCGCGGCGACCTCCTTCTTTCCCTTTCCTCTCCGGCCGCCCGCCCGCCAAGGCCATGGGCATGGGCGCCCCCGCCCCGACCTAACCTAGTGGCCTCCACCGCTGCCAGAACCCTAAAGTCGTCCCCCGCCATCCCCATTGCCTGGCCAGCCTACCTCCCCCGATCTCCTTCTCTTCTAAGTCCGTCAGAGTTGAGGAAGAAGAAGAGAGGGAGAGAGAGAAGGCCGCCGGAGTTGTGGAAGATGTTGTTAGACGCGGACGTGGGTGTTGGGCAATGGGAGATGGGGGAGGTGGGTGTGCGGTGCGCCTGAAAAACAGCCGCATGGTATGAAGTCTTTACCAAATTCAATTACTCTGATTTGTCGTCTAAAAGAAATGAACAAACAAAAAACAGGCACGTAATGTAGAGTGTTTCCCTTATTAGCGTGCGGCCGCCGTTAAGCAACGATCGAACACATGGCTGACTGGCAATCATCCACACACATCATCACCCTACATATGACTCTCGGAGTCTCGGTTGGTTGCAGCGCCGGCCGGTCAGTGCGCGCAGTAGTTCTTGTACGTGCACGGCCGGGTGTAGGACCCACCACGACCCTTAGCGGCGCACTGGCTGCTTCTCTCGCAGCCCGTGTTGTCCGGGTTGAGGACGTGGTTGCCGAGGCGGCCGTCGCCGGCGCCCAGCAGCAGGCTGCCGAGCTCCGCCGGCGCCACCTCGTCCTCCACCAGTCGCCGGTAGTGCTGCTGCCACTCGTTACTCCGAGCACCGTCAGCGCCGGCGACCCTTGTCGTCGCAGCAGGGCCGCTGATGATCGCCATCCTGGCGCCGCTGTACTTGCCGCCGCCGGCAGTGGCCGGGACGGCGGATGCGACGAGGACGAGGAGGAAGAGGACGGCGAGGGGTAGGCTGCTGCTGGCTGCCATCGTGTGCACGACCGATGGATCGAGTCGGTTATTTCTATGGTAAGGCTGTGGTCATGCACATGGCACCTCGTGTGGCGGTCTAGCTAGCTGGGTCGTATGAGCCTTAATATAGAGCGTGCACGGTGCACAAATCGAGGTAGATTACTGTTGCAATCACGAACAAATTAAAGGCTGATAGGGAGGAGTGCACCTTTAGCTTCGAGTATGCAGCGCAATCATTTTGGGACCATGACCAAAAGTTTAAGGGGAAGGTGTAGGCACGCGCACTTCATATATAGATCGATATTGGACGAAGCAGCAAAGCATACATGATTAGAAAGGTGAAACAATGTGGTGGGCGTCCTGACTCATGGTGGGGAATCCGCTATATATAGCCCGCCGTACTTTACATCACATCTCACCTGCAGCTAGCTAAGTTCATCAGCCACGTCTATCTGACGACATGGCATATGCATCTTGGGTGCTGCTGCTGAAACGAAACCCGAGTGGAGCTGAGAAGTGGATGAGTATTCCATGCTTATTGTTGCACAAGTTGTTCAACCTAAGGGTCAGCACTTGGAGCTGCCAAGTGCCAAAGCCACTTGTGCCAAAAATGAAGAGGATCGAGGCTTAATTTCAAACAATCAGAAAGTGAAATCAGGTCTCTTTTACTACACAGGCTCCTCGGGCCTGTTAGGGCGGACACCACCTCGTGGCTGCCCCAGCTCCCTGCCCCCGCCGCCGGCGACCGTGCTCCTCCATGCCTCCCGTTTGTCTTCTCCACACCCCTGCTCCCTCCCTGGCTGCCGGCGGCGTCCTCCTCCCCCACCCCGGCGGCACCCCTCACCCACTCCGGCGCGCGCCCTCCCCCATTCCGGCATCCTCCTCCCCTACCGCGGTGTACTCCTCCCCTGCACACCGGCGGCTCCTTCCCTGACCCCGACGTCTTCCTCCCCCACCCCGGCGTCCTCCTCCCCCACCTCGGCAGCGCCCCTCCCCCGACACCGGCGTCCTCCCCCACAGGGAGCTCCCAACGCCCTCAGATCCAGCGGCCATGGCGTTCCCCGCGCCAGGATCTCTCTGCCCCCTATGTTGCAATTGTATCTTTCAATTATTTCAGGAGTTTCAAATGTATGTTGCATTTGTTTTATATGGATGTTGCAAAAGTAGATCGGGGGTGTTGCACATGTTGCATATGTTTCAGAGGCATGTTGCAAGAGTATGTTTTGAGTGTTTAAGATGTTTTAGAGGTATATTTCATCTGTGTTTAGGGACGCATGTTGCAATTGTGTTTATGGATGTTGCATAGGTTTCACACATATGTTGCATGTGTTTTATTCGGATGTTGCGTATGGTTGCAAAGGTTTTTAAGTGTGTTTCAAGTGTGTTTTTAAGTGTTTCAGAAACATGTTTCAACTGTCTTCAGACGTATGTTCAACCGTTGGATTTAGATGTTTCAAAAGTAGATCGGGTGTTGCTTCTCTCCTCCTCCCACCTTCTGCTGCATCGTCTCTCCCAGAGCCGGCAGGGCATCCATACAAACGAGGGATGGACGATGGGCGCGGGACGAGAGAGCTCTGTACGGACGGATGCTGCCTTCAGAGCGGGATGGGCGCTAGGCGGAGGGGGCTGCGTAGTCGCGGTTGGGAGCAGGGGTGCTTCACTAGCTGCTTCAGTGCTTCTTATACATATTTTGAGCCCGGCCAACACAGAGTACGGAGTATGCATGATTGGAATCACATCACTAACCGATCCAAATTTCGAATAAACAACAGATGGAGGGCACTCACAAATTGGCTGATGATAGGTTGTAGGTTCAGAGAGGGAGCAATGTAACATACTAGACGACATACATAATCATATACAGTGGGAAAATATGATTAAAGGCGCCCTTTGGTGCAGCAATTGAACACCATGCCTATGTTTTCGATCGTGCTAACACTAACATAAGGAGCAAACGGGCCAGGCTAGCGCTGCTTACTTCATCCGGAACGTCTACCTGACGACATGCCACTTGTTGTGCAAAGGCTGCTGAGAGGCGGCCAATAACTGACAACATCATATAAATTTCCATGTGGCATACCGCATACGAAACTGTTGCATAATAATATTATATGGTATAGTTCCTCCGTCCCTAAACAACTGTCGCTTTTAAAATGATTTTCGTGCCGTAAGTTTGATTAAATTTATAGAAAATACGTACAACATTTGTATCTCTAAATAAATTTATTATAAAAATAGATTCAACGATCTATCTACTGCTATTAATTTTGTACCATAAATATTAATATTTTTATATATCTAGTCAAAGTTGTTTCTTGGGAAGCGAAAATGATAGTTATTATTTAGGGACAGAGGGAGTACGTAGCTATGGAATAGTATACTAGACAGATCAAGACAGAAGTTGATGCATATTATATATGCATGCTCGTTCTCAAGTTGATATAGTGCCCTACCTGAATCTGGAATTGCCTTGAGGGCCCGAATTTCCTTGAGTGCCAAAATAAAGCTGCCAAAAAAATATAGTTTCCTTGATGTGGATATTGACCTTCCAAGGAAATATGTATTTCTTGAGTTTTGAAGTAAACCGTCAAGGAATATTGATGTTTTTTTGGCGGTTTCTAAGAACCTCCAAGGAAATTACACATTCCCTTGAGTGTACTGGTAAACATTCAAGGAAAATTACATTTCCTCGAGTGTTTTTTAACCACCAAGAAAAAACGGTTTTTTTCATTAGTGTTATTTTAATCCACCAAGAAAAATTACTATTTTGTTGGGGGTTATGCAATTTCCTTGGTGGTAGTGAGTGATGCATATGCAGGCGAAGAGTAAACAAAGTTGATGATGATGCAGGCACGTACTACGGCATGGTTCACACACGTACTGCATGCCTTCCCGGCGCACCGGTTGGTTTATTTGCGCGCGGGGCTGCAATTCTGCAACAACGAACAAACACACACTGGCATGCGCATGCATCGCCTCTCGGCTCAGTTGGAAACAATGGGCGCCGCGACGGTGTGTGGCACGCACGTATCGTACGGCGTGCTCATGTCAGTGTGCGCATTTATCCCCGTACGTGCACCTCCGGGTGTAGGACCCTCCTGGCTTGGTGCACTGGCCGGACGGCAGGCAAACCTGCCCGTCCTTGTTCAAGGCACCGTCACGTTTTCGGCCTCGAGCAGGCCGCCGAACTCGGGTGCCACCTCGTCCTCCACCAGGCGCCGTAGCTGCTGCTGCCACTTGTTGAGCGCACCGCCAGCAGAGACGTCGAGGACCCTTGCCCCGGGTGTGTGGATGATGACCATCCTGCCGCTGTACTTATCGGCGGCGGAGGAGGCGGCGGCCACAGGAAAGGCAGATGTGGCCACAAGAATGGCGATGTTGGCGGTGGCGAGGAGGGCGGAGGGGCCATCGAGACAAGTGACATTTTGGCAAACTTATGACATCCTATACCCATGCAAAGGATAGTAAATATATGAACCAAAACATCGGCGTTCGAATAGAACCTCTCGATGGAGTAGGGCGAAAGATCCAATACTTTGGCATCATTGAAGAGATATGGGAACTTGACTATGGAAGGATATAACGGTGGCTCTGTTTCAATGCCGCTGGATCAAACAACACCAACTGACGAGATCAGATTGAGAGTCCTGGACCTCGAGAATCTAGGCTACCAAGATGACCCTTGGGTGCTCGCTTCACGTGTCGCACAAGTTTTCTATATGTCTGACCCACAAAGTAACCTCCCCCCGAAGAAGAAGACAAAACACGTGGTTGCCTCCGAAAAACAGCACATTATCGGAGTTGATGGCGTGGACGATGTTGAAGCTTACAATAACTACGATGAGATGTCTGTATTCACAGACTTTTCTAAGAAGATCAGTGTTGTGGAAAAGAACCTGCCCAAAGACATATTGCCATGGGAACAAAAAGGTGTCAAGAGAAAAGTCGTTACAGCGGGCTAGCTCGTTGTTGAACGTGGAGTGTTTGTGTAAGTGTGTGTGTTTATAAGACTTCATTTATGCATGTGTGTGAGACATGGTGGGATGATGAGGGCAAGGTGAATGATGATAAGATTGCACACCCGACTGATTGTAGTCAGTGGCAAAGGATCGATGAGAAGCACAAAGAATTCAGCGATGACCCAAGGAATGTCCGGTTTGGCTTAAGCACCGATGGAATGAATCCCTTCAATGAGAGGATGAGCGACCATAGCACTTGGCCTGTGATCTTGACCATGTACAACATCCCAATGTGGTTGTGTTAGAAGAGAAAGTACCTTCTCCTCACTATTCTTATTTCTGGCCTTAAACAACCATGCATTGATATAGACGTGTTCCTCGAGCCTTTGATGCAAGAAATGGAGAGGCTATGGAGGCATGGGTAGCCGATGTATGATGCGTTCGGAATAGAGGACTTTATATGTAGAGCAATAATATTTGTTACTTCCAATGATTACCCCACGCTGTTTGCTTTGTCTGGATAGATCAAAGGGAAGACGAGATGCTTAGTTTACTTGGATGGTACTACATGGGTGTTACTGGATGCATCCGAGAAGATAGTTTACCTAAGCAACCGGTGCTTCTTAAAGACAAGTCATAAGTAGCGCAGCAAATTATTCTTTAGATTTTATGACAACATTCCAGAGATTGAACCCCCTCCGGAGAGACGTCATAACGGAGAACACGTGTACAGAATGGTGAAAAATATATGCGTCGTCTATGGAAAAAAGAATCTGGATGGGACGAATAGAGATAGAAGCATACCTCTTATCGAAGGCCTTTTAAGAAACAATCAATCTTCTTTTAGTATCTGCCTTATTGGCCAGACTTGGAGGTCCCCCATGCCATTGATGCTATGCACGTGCAGAAGAATGTCGTTGAGAGTCTCATTGCTACCTTGATGGACACAGGCAAGTCAAAGGATGGTCTAAAATCACAGAAAGACATGGTGTAGCTAAACATGATGCCACAGCTTCACCCAGTACCTGAGGCTAATGGAAAATACACTCTGCCCACGCG